ATTGTAAAATGCTGTGGAATTTCTTTTGCAAATAAGAAATATACTAGCAATTTTCTATTAATGGTTTATTCAAGTGGGCAAAATATAATGTACAGAAAGATTGCCCGTAGAGTATCGCTACACTGAAAAGTAAGCAACCGACAGCCTGTATAAAAGGGGGGGCTGTGATTGGCTGTTACTTACGCGAGATTTGAACGGGACTTACATAGGCGTCGGATCAGATGTAGGTAGGGCGGAATTAAAATAAAATCACAAAATCAAAGTAAAGTAAAATAATAAAATAAAAGGGCATTAATAACAAAAGTAATAAAAAATAAAATTAAAATAAGTTTATAGCCAAAATAATTAAAGCCCGTACACTACATCAAATTTTAATCAGATTGATGTGGCATTAGCAATGTCTGGAGCATGGATAGTGCGCGTGTATTAGTTGTTTGGGTTACTTAGATTGCAGATTAGACTAGGGGTTATATCTACCATGCATGGCTTTTGTTATATGACATAGGAGTTGTAGTTAATAATGATGGTATCACTGATTAATGCGACATGACATGATTACCCATCGTTTAACACTACCGATGTGGCAAATATTATAAATAATAATTATTGTATAGTTACTCACCAGATATAGAGATTCTTGGGCCAAAACCAATCAATAGGTAATAACTTGATGTTGTTAAATCATAGAATCTATCTTCTGATCCGGGCATACTGTTGTCCCGAGTGAAGCTACATTCCAATACTCCATTAGAGTATGAAGACGAGAACCCGGATGTCCCAGTCTGAAAAAAAGGCAAGTGTGTAGCTTACACAAATAATGATGATTCCTCCATAATGATGTAGAAAGAATGTGGTACAAGAATGTGAAATAAATCTCGGTCACAAATTGCCGATGAAATCTCGTTGAGAGTGAGAGAGTGTGCGTTCACTGTTCCCCGATATAACAATGGATGACGGGAGCACTATTTCGGGGCAAAAGAAAGTCTTGCAGCTCTCTCGCCTTCAGTGAGATCTCGTCGCAGGTCTATTTGCAATCGTAATCAGACAAAAATTGATAATCGTAGACAATAATTCCAATGGATCGTTCATGTTATTGAACGTTTTACAGTGATAAGGAAGTTGGCTGCATTAAGGAGCTGGCTTACCGTATCCCCCTGTGAGTTTTGCTGTCCTATGTTCAGTGAATGGTCCAAGACAATGCTGGAATCTTGGAGCATGAGGCATCCCCATACGTCATCATCGCCCTGCAATGTTGTAGAATATTTGCAGTTCAAAGCGATATTGTACGAATTAACTACAGCATGGGTTTAGGTAAATATCGGTGAGAACCCGGATGGGAACACGTTAAAGCTGCTGTTTGTGCTGTATATAGATGTATAAATATCATCATGAAAAACAGATCTAGCTCAAGTAAATTCGCAGTCGCCCATCCCACAGCTTCTAAGACAGCGAATAACAATGACAATATTACTGTGTTTTCAAAATTCCAAATTTGTGAATCGCACTAGAATAATTCATGTTTCTTTAATAAACAGCAATTTGAAGTTGTCGGATAATCTGCATAAATAAAAATGGACACACTGAACACAGAATGGAGCATGCGCACAAAGCAAATGCACTACGCATTGTGAATAGATCAACACATAGAATAAATATATGCAAATTACGAACGGTTGAAAATCGCGAATAGAAACAATATTCCGCCCACCCCGTGCTCTGAAAAAGAGCTGCGTACGAATGTGTCGCCAGCGTCGACGGCGTTTCTCAAATCATTCTTACCATTCTCGTATCGTGCGAGAGTGCGAATACCATGTAATCCTCTCCATTCTTAAGTTTGCCGAGAATTCCGAAATCTGTCGTGTCGCCAGTGTCTGATGGCTGCCAGGTGATCAATGCGTCGCATGACGTAGTACAGCCGACTGGGTCCATGTAACACCCTTTTGTGACACCGCATCCAGTGGTGTCTACTGATGTCACCTGGAAGAGAAAACAAACTTCTCATGAATTGAAATTTATTAATTAATTGCAATCTTTCACAGTATCGCATTGTCAAATGGGTTGTCTGAAATTAACTTAACCGGGGGTCCTCAGAGTGAGATTGCCTTCTGGAATCATTTAAGCTAAGTGAGGAAATAAACTGAAAATTAATTCAATATGTTTATTGAATTAGTTTATTGAATTAACCCAGCGTTTTGACTTGAACATCGGGATATTTTGATGGTTTCACAAAATGAGGCAAAAATTAGAACACGTTGTTCACCAAATGCCTGTCGTCAATTATCGTAATTACTCGTTGTTTCCGTGCAACCATAGATTGTATAGAAGATAAACATGCAGCTGGGGTAATTTTTCTCCGTTCAGGCACAGCCTAAAACGGTGACTATTAATTTGGCCTCCGTCTTCCGGATGTTCATCTACGTCTTCAACATTTTCTCAGAAATTCTGCAGCCAGGTATCCTAAATAATGTAACAATCGAATTTTTTTAAAACAATTAATTCTTGCTTCTGTTACTCAACAATTCTAAGCTGTTCCACAGATACTAATCTCAAGAACCACTTATATTGGAATTATTCCTCGTTTTATATTTACATATTCCACGAGTTCAAAAATATCTTTGATAGTTCTTATTTTTAATTATCAACTATTTTTACAAGCAGCAATAATGATATAAACTGCTTTAATTTCGCAAAAGACGGGCTCGAATTTTCGCTAATTACACGAGGCTGAAAATTGAGGAATTTTGTAAGCAGTGAAAAATCAGAGGATCCTTTGACATGTCGTAACAAATGCCATCAAATCCTGCATTGAAAATTAAATAATTTTATAACCTTTGATATTGATTGAATTTTAGTAATATCACTGCACTAAAAGGACTTCAAACAATTACTCTTCCTACTCTATTCAATGGCGGTTATGAGCCGACCTACCCTTATCGATACTGGCTTCCTTGATTATTACTTGCTCAGAAAACTTTGCTTTGTGTTTACAACAGTTTATTAACAGATGTTGCTGTATATACAGTGATTAGATTGTAAATAATAAACCATACTGTGTTACTAAGAAATTGTATTTGTGCTTTGTAAGAATGACTATGTTGCTTAGTGGTGATATTGAAACAAACCCAGGTCCTGTTAATGTACAAAGACCTGAATTAACAAAGGGGTCAAAGAGGATATTAAAAGAACATCAAGGTTCAGATTTATGATTGGAGTTCCTTTAGCAAGTACATGTTTGAAAAAAAAAAGTTTTGTTGCACTTGTCTACTCTGGAATTCTGGACAATGGAAATCTGCAGCTATGAGTCAATACTAGATTATGGGAAAATCACTTTATGGTGAGTTGTGCCCTCACAGAGTACATATCGTGGTTATTGCGGTGTATGTGCTATATACAGCCAATCGGATGGTTTGGCAACCAAGTACATTGTTGAGTAAGGACGCAACGGTAGACACCAAATAAAACCAGATTTGCATAACAACATGCTAACATATTTATTCCCTTGAAAGATGACTTTAATAAGAAGGCAAAGACACTATTAAATCAATAGTTATTATACTAGATCAGTGGAAAACATAGAGGATAACGCTGAAACTTGTAAATTAAACCTATGAACCAACTTGTAATTAAGGTAGTAAAGGGGGAAAAGAAACTAGAGGGCGTCAGGAAAAAAAACTAGAAAAAAAAATATTTTTAAAAAATGTCGGATTATGAAACATTATATTATGTACTTTCTTTATCTTTGAACCAAATTTACTGTGCGCGATGCATTTGGTGCGTAATTTCAGTTTATTCCAAAAATCTAGTATAAGTAAATATATCGAAGACCAGTAGCATTTCATCTCAGTACTTTTCACCAGAATATTATTGATATATTTTAGCGCCCTTTTCTCTCGGAATATTTTCTAAACTGTGATGGGTTTATACATTCTAAAGGAAACGATCTCTTTTCGGTCATATACCGGTGTAGCGGAGATTAATCTTGATATACAGAACAATTTGAATTTCGTGAAAATTATTTTGATGAATTGTACCTGGATATACGTAGTTGTTTTACCTTGGGAAGGGTACCTGCTTCACGCAAGATCTGTCTATACGTATCTGCTTCATACCCAGTTATTGTTGCGTGTTCGTGTTGTGTCGGGAACCGTGGTACAACTGTAACAGGTATCTGCTTTCACGTTCCCTATACATTACGTGTGAATGGCCTGGCATGACCTCTTTCGGTTTCGTTGAATGGGCAAACGTCATTAATTGTCTTTGTCGCGTGAATTGGTGCATGGCACTACAGCACGACACTGCGTAAAATAATATTACTCCCACTTGATATGGTCGCGTCAACTCGAAAATTTCGCTAATATCTTAGGTGTCGAGTATATTGTTTACTGTGGATCCACACACTGTGAGAAAGTCACTGATAACAGTACACTAAGCCAAGTGCATGTCAGTTAAAGTTACCCATATTATAGTGAATGTGTATATATGAAAGTATGGTATACGCACATCATACTCACTAGAACTAGATGATTGGACAAGGTAATCAGGGCCACAGACTAGTCATGTAATTTAGTGGCGATATGAGCGAACGCCGCGACAACGAAGAACCAAACAAATAACAAATCCCAAACTTACCGTGTTAATACTGCAAGTGAGCACAATGACCCCGATTAAGAACACGCTTATAGACATCTTGAACACCATCAAGTCGCCGAGTTTACTACGAGAAAGACCGTGTTCGCTTTTTGATGACAATCCCGCACTGTCACGAGTCTATAAAAGTGTCAGTGTTGACAGTCGTTCACGCGTTTAGGTGACTAATCCGGGCGCTAAGAAGGGTGGTACATATCGTGTGAGTCACGGTGTAATGTAATGTCACGTGACCTTGAATTGCATCTTCGACTCACGTGATCTTGAGAACAAAATACTTGTGTTAGACGAGCTAAGAGGTTAAAGGGCGGCAGTCGTCGCGTCGCGTCCTGTTCGATATAGGACTCATAGCGACGTATACAGCGCGCGTAAAATACATTGTTTATTTACATGAAATTCGAACACGCACTGCGCGACGACCACCGCGCTTTAAACACGTTAGCTCGTGCTGAAAGAAATGTACGCGAACGCTTTGTATCAGGTATAAAGTACCAACAAAAATGAGCTTCATCTAGACCCCACCCGGGCCATGGAATGTGGCACTAGGAGTCGTGCCCGGGCTAACGATGTGGGGATGGACGCTTAGCCAACGCTGAGATGAAACGTGCCAACAAAACACCACTGTAATCAATCCACTTGAAAGATTTACTTTTATAGTTACATCTTTTTGTTTCGGTTTGTTATTTTCTGACGTTGGGCATTCACATTATTCTCAAGAAAAACTACAGACGGTGATCCTCTGTACTACTACTCCCTATTCTTGCATAGTTAATGCTTTATATTGCATTTATGTGCAAAAAAAGTCTACACTGCCGTAGTGTTTGGACTTATATACGTTGCACACATCGCGCTATGACAAATGGGCGCTTTAGTGGCTGACTCATGGGGTCACATAGCTGCAGCTAGGGGTCACAGCGAGAGCCTAACTTGTCAATGTTCTTTCAATTGTAGTTGTAGTAATTGAAAAGAAATGTTTGTTTGGCGTGAACTTGGGTCAGTTGCAGTTGCAGTTGTACAATACATACAAAAAGTTGAACAAATTTTGATAGTGTTTAACAAACAAAACGTTTGTTTGTATACATACATGTATATATTATGACGTTGCCATGGACACAAATATAGTCTTTAACCAATACAGTCAGGAATTGTACCTGTCTTAATAAATGACCTTGTCGACAATGCTAACATTCTAATCAAGTGACCCACAATGCCATACAATTTACTGCTTTCGGGGCCTTGTAATATTGACACTGGACGAAACAACATTCCATGCACAGAGTTCAAAACGAGACGAAACTAACCACGTGTGAATACTAATGTAATGGGCACACACCCAAACAATTCTAACAAAGACTCCTTCGTTTGCCAAACTGTTGATCGAATGAAAAAAACTCGTGTACTTAAGTACTCCAGGAGTTTTTCATTATTTCTGGGGGGTGCCATGGGAGTGGACGGAGGTAGATCAGTCATTCGGCTGATTTGTGTTTTCGTTCTTCCTGTAATGTAGATTTTGTTTCATTGTCAGACAAACATATCTTCACCTTACCTCGTGTTCATGCGGAGTTTTCTTTCTAAAATTACTTGCTTTCCATTGAAGCCTAACTCTTACCATTGTCAGCATAGCGAGTACACTGCTGGTATATTTCAACTTAGAATACTCGAAATATAATTTGCAAGAAATTAAAGTATTAAATCCCAATTCATAAAGCCATGATTTTTTTAAAATAAATTATTCATAAACGTTTTATAAATTTCAAATGGCAGACAACTTGAGGCTATCACAATGCATTGTGGGCGAATGACGTAATGGTTCAATTAGCGTGGTTTCACGATACCCGTCACGATACTCCCCCTACTACCTGCATGTTCTGTGTATAAACTATAGACTGTCG